TACAGCAATTTTGTATTAAAATTAAAAATAATAAGAAATATAAAAGGTTTTTTGCCGAGGTTTTTTGACGATCCGACAAGTCGATAAGTGACAGGATTTATGGATAAAGAGTGACTTAAAAAGATATATATATATATATATATATATATATATATATATATATAATTGGAACAATGTAAAAGCAGAGAGCGAGAAAGAACATAAACAGCGTATAAGCGAATTATTGAAATCACGATAAAGCATTGGAGGATATGATAGTGAAGAATGTTGATTTTGTCATTTTGTTCGACGTCTTATTCTTTATCTATTTATTGCCCGTGAATGAAAATCGATATAGATCAATAAAAATTTTCAATTCCTCTACAATGCGCAGCCTTACGCAACTCGGCCGAAACCAACACATACCAAGTAAAAAACGAGTATACCTCCGTGCGTGACCAATTAGCCTACCCTTCGTTTTATTCTTTATTCAGCCTCTTTCCGCACATTGTTGAGAAGCTGCGGAGCAATATTATTTTTGTAATTTCTCGGTCTTTTTCCTTTAAAGTTTTAATTGGAATTTTCTGGTGCATTGTACGCACAATTTTTAGAAAATTTGAAACATAAAAGCAGCGTTAATTTAATCCCACAAACTCCTTAGCACCAATAATTTGCGCGACTTTATTTTAAAACAGCCTATTTTTGCTGAAATTGGTGCTGAAATATCGTGCTTGGTGAATTTCAAAAGGAACCGGGATGTCTGCTGGATTCGCGGAACGAATGCTCCCGATCATTGAAAAAGTAAAGGGAACTAGCTAGGCCTGGAAATTAGAACGTGAAAATTGGACAAGAGCAAGAAATTATGAATCTATCCGGAGCGACGCCGAGATTTTCAGGTTGCCTGATCTTTAGTTGCAATGATGTCTCGTGACTTGGTCCCGCCGCGTTCTCACGGAGACGTCTCACCGCGACTTCTCCGTGCCCTGTTGGATGCATCTCAAAGCCGGGCCCCGGCTAATTGTCATTCGAAGACAATTAACTGGTGGATCGCGTAGGCGAACTCTTGGACGAGCGCGCCTGAGCTAATCGTCGCGCAGGAGCTTATAATACGATTGCCTCGACCGGTTCCCCTTCAATCGCCAGAGTATCAAGCACGCGAGGGTGTCGGGCACGACAAGAATGACAGCCGCGCGAGCGACTGTAAATAGAAAATACGAGATGTGCTGTGTACACGAATGGTGCTTGACTATGCCCACCTTATCCCCCCCCCCCCCCCCATAA